ATCCCCAGTAGAGGGTGTGCAAGAGGCAGCTGATAGATGATTCTCTCTCATCGATGTTTCTAACTCTCTATCCCTCTCTCTTCCTCTCTGTAAAAAATCAATAAAATATGTTTTAAGAAAAAGATTTTAACATAAATGGGTATTAAAATTTAATGATTTTTCTACATCTATTGATATGATCATTTTTAATTCAGTCTATTATACGATGAAGTACACTAATTGATTTATAAGTGTTGATTTATAAATTCTGGAAATTAGCCCCACATCATGAGGTATTATTCTTCTTATACACTGCTGGATTTTTGCTATTATTTTAAGGATTTTTAAATCTATGTACATGAGAAATATTTGTCTATACTTTTCTTTTCTAGTAATATATTTACTTGGCTTTGGGCTTAGTTAGGGTAATGCTGACCTCACTAAAAGAATTAAGATTACTTCTGTCTTATATTTTCTGAAAAAGATTGCAGATTACTTTATTATTTCATCCTTAAATGTTTGATGGAATTTAAGAATAATATCTGGGAATAGGCTAGGAAAAAATGATTCATTTTAAAGATGTCATGAATATCCTGGACCACCAGAAAGATAAACAAGTGGGCCAAAACCGGTTTGGCTCAGTGAATAGAGCATTGGCCTGCGGACTGAAGGGTTCCAGGTTCGATTTTGGTCAACGGCATGTACCTTGGTTGTGGGCACATTCCCTGTAGGGGGTGTGCAGGAGGCAGCTGATTGATGTTTCTCTCATAGATGTTTCTGACTCTATATCCCTCTCTCTTCCTTTCTGTAAAAAAAAATCAATAAAATATTTGTTTTTAATAAAAGAAAGATAAACAAGTAGAAACTAGAGCAAATCAAGCCTGAAACATCGTGGGAGGCAAAAATGACAAACCTGAAGCTGTCCTACTTCGGGCACATTATGTGAAGAGTCCTTGGGCAAAGACAATAATGCTGGGAAAAATAGAAGGCAGCAGGACAAGAAGACCAAATATGAGATGAATTGAGTTCATAAAATAAGGCTCAGGATTTGCAACAGCATGGATGGACTTGGAGAGCATTATGCTAAGCGAAATAAGTCAGTTGAAAACATCACATGATCTCACTCATTTATGGTATATAATGAACAACATAAACTGATGAACAAAAACAGATCCAGAGACAGAGAAGCATGGATCATACTGTCAAACCTCAGAGGGAAGGCAGGGGAGGTTGGTGGTAAGATCAACCAAAGGACTTGTATGTATGTATATAAGCCTAGCCAATGGACACAGACAACAGGGGGATGAGGGCATGAAAGGGGAAGGGGTGTGGGGAGCTAATGGAGGGATAAAGTCACATATGTAATACCTTAATCCAGTGGTCAGCAAACTCATCAGTCAACAGCCAAATATCAACAGTACAACGATTGAAATTTCTTTTGAGAGCCAAATTTTTTAAACTTAAACTTCTAATGCCACTTCTTCTAAACAGACTCACCCAGGACGTGGTATTTTATGGAAAAGCCACACTCAAGGGGCCAAAGAGCCACATGTGACTCGAGCCGCAGTTTGCCGACACGGCACCAATAAAGAAAAAAAGTAGTCACAGGAATGAGTCACCAGGAGCTGAGTGGGGCTGTTGAGGACAGGACATTGCAGACATCACTCATTCACTGGGTTGCCAGGAATTGGAGTGGGCTCAAGGGCATGTAACACAAGTCAACACTATTAACAGGTTCTTCTATGTCCTTCTAGCATGGGCGAAGATCCTAGACATCTTTTTTAAATGGAAAGGTAATACATGCAATCCTCTGCACCTTGCTTTTTCTCTTTTCCTGGATGTTTCCATGTTCCTAGACAGTATCCTCATTCTTTCTGAAGCTACACATTTTCTAGTTTGTAGCTGTACCACAGTTTATGGATGGAACTAGAGTATATTATGCTGAGTTGTCCGATGGCTATAAAGGTAGTTATACAGAATGAATAAATTCTGGAGCTCTCCTGTACAACATAGTGTCTATAGTGAAAAAATACCATACTGTGCACTTAAAAATTTAAGAGGGTAGATCTTTTTTAAAAAATATATATTTCATTGATTTTTTACAGAGAAGGAAGAGGGAAAGAGAAACATCGATCAATGAGAGAGAAACATTGATCAGCTGTCTCCTGCACATCCCCTACTGGGGATGAGCCCACAACCAAGGTACATGCCCTTGAATGGAATTGAACCTGGGACCTTTCAGTCTGCAGGCCAACACTCTATCCACTGAGCCAAACCAGTTTCGACAAGAGTAGATCTTGTGTTAAGCATTTTTACCATACATACACACAAAGCAAAGGGAACAAAGAAAGTTTTGGAGGTGAAGGAAAGATTTATTACCTTGATTGTGGTGATGGTATGATAGGTTTATGCCTACGTCCAAATGAATCAAATTACATACATGAAATATGTCCAGTTTTCTATATATCTATTATACCTCATTAAAACTATAAAAATAATTGTTGTACTGTTAGGCAGACACTATAAAGGTAAATACCACCTACTCTACTGCCAATGCTGTTCGTTTCTTTGCTATGACATTTTTCATTTGGTGATTTCTTCTAAATAGCTATCATTTTTCATTCCTGCGTGACATAAAACACCCATTAACCTAAGACTGAGCTTTGGGCACTTCAAAAAAAATATTTAAAAATTCAGAAGCAAAGATCCATTATTTTACCAATCAGTTAGAGAACAAAAGATGAAGGTGTGAGGTATTGAGTTGAGAGAATAATGGCACACTTGACTCCACCAATTAATGCAGGTAGAGAAAAATTAAGTATAGAATGAAACCGGGAGGTCATGGTCAGTCAATGAGAGACCCCTATGGATTAAGGCTGCTAACCTTGCTAGGGTATGTTTTGGATGCTGAAATAGATAAGTGTAGTCTTTTGTAATAGGATGACTGAGGTGCTCATCATTCCAGAAACGACCTCCTAGGCTGTTGGTTATTTCTGCAGAATGTGCCTGCTCAAGTGTTAATAGCCGAGGTTCTCATTGCTTCATTAGATTTAGAACTAAGTTATAGTCTGTAAATGAGAAATGCAAGTAATAATGAGGGGTCAATTTATTTTAAGTACATTTATCAGGAAATAATCCATGTGTACAATTTCAAACATTTACAAATATTGCAAATTATAGAAAATTAATGTCATCTGAAAAGGATCGGAACAGTGATTTTCACAATTATTTACAATGAACTTGAACTATCTTTGTAGAAACATAAGTATGTTTAAAAGTACCCTGCCACAAAGTAGTAATTTCACAGTACCTTTAATATTTATGTCACTAACGTGGCAGCAGCATCAATAAAACCCAGCAGATTCCACAGCACAATGAGCACTGCAAATTCAAGTTAGCATTAATTCCAAACAAAACTATTCATATTAGCATATAAATATATTTCCATTTTCAGCACTGATTGAATAAAATAATTAGGAGGCAGTATATTCTTACTTGTAATAAACAGCAATTAATTTTAGGATGTTTTAAAAATTGACATTAAGAAGCTACATTAGGCACATGCAATACTAAATATTTTGAGAAATTCTTTGTTTCACTGGAAGCCATTTCTAATAGTAAACCTTTTATCGTTTTGACAGTATGCAGAAATTATAACTGTGCATCAGCAATTAATAACATATTTGGGTGGAAAATGATCTTGGCTTTATTTCTAAGGTGTGTTTTAACTTAAATTTTTAACCTATTTGGGTATCCCCTCAAAAGGATCCCAAATAAGTTTAAAATGATGTTAAAGGAAAATAACTTTATATGAACTAGTACTTGTGTTTGAAAACAGTATTTACTATAGTATTCCATAGTTTTCTTTCTTTAGCATGTATCCAGCTAAAAATTTTAAGTAAAAATGTAAAGTATAAGAAACATAGTTGAAGTCACAATAAAGTATATTTTCTTTTTATTGACATAGAACACATTTAAATTTCAAATGTTGACTCTTTAAGAAAAAGTTTCTCCTGGTAAATAATATGTATAACTGTTGCCCCAAAACATATACAGCTGTTTTCCTCAAAATATTTATACACATAGTGGTCCACTTAAGACCAGCCTCATTATAACCTACTGAATACAATGTGCTTTTAATTTATAAATGGGCTACCTTTAGTATATAAAATATAGAGGCATGTATGCACTACATACAAAGTAAGAAATATAAAGAAAAGAAAAAGTGTTCTTTTCTACAAGATCCGGACACAAATTCAGTGTAATCAGTGAGACCATGTAAAATGTACTCTTAAGTTTATAAATGGGGTACCCTCAGTATATAAAATAGATAGGCATGTATGTTATACATATAAGGTAAAAAATATAAAAAGGAGAGATGGGGGGGGGGGGGAGGAAAAAGTGTCCTTCCCTATAAGATCCAGGCAGGAAGAATTTTGGTTTTGGCAAATACTTTTCAGAAAAATAGCTAAGCTATGATAATACTAAATTTTCATTTTAAGTGTTTAGTAGAGGATCCTACCTACACAATCAGTGAAGATTCTGTGGGCTCCTGCATAGGCAGAAAAGAGAACTTTAGGGTACTGCTAAAAACAAACACAAAGTCACTCATTTTTAGCCAGGTAGCAATAATCCCTTGATCAAGTGTGTGTAGTGCAGTGAATCAAATCCTGGCCCATCAGCATCTGACAGTGCTCGAGGAAAGCTGCCAGTGGACAGGATCTGGATTCTTTCTACGTCTTAGAGGAAATGGGGCATGAAGTGATGGCAAAGGAGGGGTCAGCTCCAGAGGTGGCTGGTCCAATCTTAGGATTGATGTTAAAAAACACACCGATGTTTCTATAGCATTCTTTCTGCTGCATTTTCTTTATTTCGAGCCACAGGTCAACTTCGAGGGTCATGCAGCAAGTGGCTTATAAATAAAATCAGAGTCTATGAATAGTGTCATCAGAGTAAGAGAATCACTGGAATCTCTTGTTGGGTAAAGAGCTCGCACTGTTGGAATCCATGAGTTGTGTTATTTATGGGATACCTAAAGTGGGGGACAAAAACCATGTCAATAACAAAATACATGCAATTCAGGAATTAAAGCAATGAAAACTAATCATTTATAGAGTTAGAAATTCCATATCATTTCTAAATATTGTTTCAGTTAAAAATGCAGCAAATAGAACAGCCAATTCCAGAATTAGCAAATATTAACACTACTGCTAATTGTTTACCAAGGCAAACAATTCCACTGTTATCAAATCTCAGCATATGTTACCAACAGAGAACCTAAAGTTGGCTACCGTATCCATTTTGATGGCCTAGGAATTTGGAAACTTAATGTATCCTTTAGCTCAGAGATATGCTACATGTTTCAATTTTCATAGACAGCAGTCCTTTCCATACTGTCATGGTACCAAAGGGGAATCAGTGGGAAAAGAAAATCAATGAAAACTTTTAGCTGCAATGTTCTTTTCTTTCCTTTTCTAGATGATCATTACACAGCCAAAAATACAGCAGGATACTGAAAAAATCATAGAACTTTCCCCAAAACAGCATAAACATTTCATTACAAATTTAAATTATAGTTCTTCTGGGGAATATTTGCATCTTACAGCAAGAAAACAGATATCTGCTAATTCAGTATAGATTTATATATATACAGAAGCCCTTTGTAAAGTATAAAGCACTAATACCAACATAAGGTACTGTTATTATGGAAACAGAAGATTCGAACAAATTCATTCCAAATATGAAGAATACAGAAAAAGGCAATCTTAATTTTAAATTCTCATGCAAGTAACCCATATTTTATGATTAATAAAAATAACCTAATTCCTGATATAATAATTATCTGATGATGGCAAGCTAAAGTAAGACTTATCAGATTCCTACAAACAGATGTTTCTCCCATATCAATAAAGCTTAAATTTTAAAACTAGGTCATCATCTAATTAATCAAGAGAAATAATTGAACTCTTTCTCTAATCATGAAGACTTTTAAAATGCTACACTTTCTTGGCAACATATGGGACAAGTTGTTTCCATTTAAGTGATTAATTTTAAGAAAAATTGAGCTATCATCAGGAACAGCTTCCAAAATGATGGTTATATTTAAATGAATATAGGTTACACAACTTATTTCATCACATGCTGAGCAATTTTACTTTCATAAAAACATTTAGTGGAAGTTAAGGTATAAAACTAATAATCAGTTTTAGTTCAACCCATTTATTCAAGCAATAATTTTTAAAACTTCGGTTCAAAAAATGTATTTTTTTTCAAACTAAAGCAAAAGAGACTATACATTTTCCCTGGTTTGGGTTTTACAGATACTCTGCTAATGTTCTGAAAGTCCTGTCATTTGGCATTAAAAGTAGTACTTTCACTTCTGCTCATAGTTGACAACACAACAAACACCTCAATCCTTAATTTTGACTGCCACAAAAGATTGTCTAGTCAGAAACTTAGTGGATTTTCCAGGTTCCTAAGCATAGGAAGAATGAAAAACACTGAACACTTTCTGCTGCGTTATAGACAAACATATTAACGCTAACTAATAAAATTGTCTAATTTAAAGAGTAACTGACCTGAGATGTACCTTGCTCCGATAAACATTATCATGCTACTCATTATAAAAAAGCCCAGGGGTAGACTACAGAAGATACTAGGGTCACCTGTGGTCATCCAAGTAGAAGGGATTTCCCGTCAAGCAAACCAAAAGAGAGACACATAATTACAATATTTGTGTTAAGAATCACATGATAGCAAAACAAAATAAGTTATAAAAAAGTCTATTCATAAAAGCTAGCAAAGAGTTATTACTTCAAATCAAAAATATAATCAATATTAAAGGCTTGTAACAATTAACAAACAATACAGAGGCATGCCACAAGTAGCCAAGAACAGAATGTAGACCATATGCCTTCCGCTGGCAAAGCCAAAGAAAGGCAATGGAGAACTTTTTGGGAGGCTGTGGATTTTAGCTTTCTTGATTCTTCCCCAAAAGATACAAAATCCCCCCCACATTCAAATTATAGATGCTTTGGCTATCAGAAAAATTATATTAACCTATTGTAAATAAATGCCAAACCCTATTGGTTTTGTTTTATTTTATTAAAAAAAAAATAGGATTTGGCATAAAAGGAAATGCACCCGACACAATGTTACTCTCATTTGAAAACTACATTGTATTAATGTACATTCTAAAAAATTGCCTGGGAACATGATAGTTCTGATGTTTTCTGAGAATAAAAGATTGAAAGAATGAGGATATTATGCTTACTTAGGAGAAAAAACAAAAGCTTCAAGTAGGAACATCCAAGACTAAAAATACAAGCATGGTGATCCATGGTGTGCACAGTTCCTGAAGCTTCTCCTAAGAGCCAGATATATTAAAAGTGTTTTGGCCCTGGCCAGGCAGCTCAGTTGTTAGAACAACAAGGTTACAGGTTTGATCCCCAGTCAGGGCACATTTAAGAAGCAAGCAATAAATGCATCTAAAAGTAGAACAAGAAATTGATGTTTCTCTCTCTCTCTCTCTCAAATCAACAAAAAAAAACAAATAAATAAAAGTGGTTGTAGGGGGTGGAGGTGGGGGAAAAAGTGGTTCTATACCTACTTTGGTTTGGAAGGCAGGTTATATTTCACTTATAAACTCTTCTTCAGCAAAGTATATGCTTCTGTAAATAAATTTCATTATGTTCCAAATCTTATATTTAGCAAATAATAAAAATAGTATGTTATATTAAAGGCCTGTTCAAGGCTGTTTAAATAGCACAGGCATATTAAAGGAAGCTTAAGGCTATTTATAACTAAATGGTTCCCTACTTCAACTGAATACTTTCCTACCTAAATGATTTATTGGTTCAGGTCATGAAGACGGCCCCCCAAAAAGGTAAAGTAAGACATTAGGAGGGAAAAAACAAAGACTGTAGTTGATTGTTTTGTTTTTCATTAAGAGGAAGCTAGAAAAATAAGTAGGAACTAGAAATAATTTTACTTTTAGAAAAGTCAGCGATAAATAGAAGTACTAGAAATGAACTAATAAGATGGCAGGATATGTGCATAGCAACCTGATAATTAACACTATGCTTAGAACTATACAGTGTTTTCAGAATGTTAGAAGCTCTAGATATATGGTAATGCAGCTTTGCTAAGTATAAATGGTCAGGTGCTTAAATAAGCTATTTAACATAGTGAGACAAAGTGGCAATAATAATAAAAGCATAGTTACCACTTTCCGAAGATTCAGTTGTAACCCAGCCCATTGATTTCATCACAGCTTTCTTCCAGGTAGAAAAACGAATTTCACTTTCTAGAAATAGAAGGCAGGAAAAGCACACACACATGTGGAAGGCTGTTTACTGAGATGTTCTAAGCACTACACTTATGTTCACTCAGCATCCTTGACAAATTGTTACACATATTAAACTGATGTGGGACTTTACCAGGACACTGATTTGAGAGAGTATGGTTGAAAGTGATGGTCAGTGACTGGGAGACAGGCTGCCTGCTGAGACAAGGCCATTTGTAAACTCTACACAATTATTTTCTGTAAGAATGAACTATTGCCTTGCCAGTGTGGCTCAGTGGTTGAGCATTGACCTATGAACCAGGAGGTCACAGTTTGATTCCTGGTCAGGGCACATGCCTGGGTTGTAGGCTCGAACCCCAGTGGGGGGCGTGCAGGAGGCAGCCGATTAATGATTCTCTCTCATCATTGATGTTTCTATCTCTGTTTCCCTCTCTCTTTCTCTCTGAAATCAATAAAAATATATTTCAGCCCTGAACGGTTTGGCTCAATGGATAGAGCATCGGCCTGCGGACTGAAAGGTTCCAGGTTCGATTCCAGTCAAGGGCATGTACCTTGCTTGCGGGCACATCCCAAGTAAGAGGTATGCAGGAGGCAGCTGATCGATGTTTCTCTCTCATTGATGTTTCTAACTCTCTGTCCCTCTCCCTTCCTCTCTGTAAAAAATCAATAAAATATATTTTAAAAAATAAAGTGTTGCTGCTTTTTGTCTAGCTAACCCTGCTGTGCTTAAAACTTACCAGCAGAATGTCCTAGAGTCTGGCTAATCATGTCCTAAAACTGGGCTATTGGCACCAGAGATGATCTGTGTAGAGATTAGGGGTGAGTGGCTGATAGATCTCCTTCTCCCTTTCATAAAAAGGCTATACGATGCCAGGACCGGTTTGGCTCAATGGATAGAGCGTCGGCTTGGGGACTGGAGGACCCGGGTTCGATTCCGGTCAAGGGCATGTACCTTGGTTGCGGGCATATCCCCAGTAGGGGGTGTGCGAGAGGCAGATGATCGATGACTCTCTCTCATCGATGTTTCTAACTCTCTATCTCTCTCCCTTCCTCTCTGTACAAAATCAATAAAATATATTTTTTAAAAATAAATAAATAAAAAGGCTATACGAACAAGCTAGAACTATAGTGTGGTAGTGCTATCCTTCTATACAAAAGGACTGTAAATGTGTGAAGAATAAAAATGTGATTTCATATAGGTTTTAGATATTTTTTATTTCAGCGAGGAAGGGAGAGGAAAAAAATGATAGAAACATTGATCAGGTGCCTCTTGCACACACACACACACCCTCTAGGGACTGAGCATATGCACTGACCAGGAATTGAACCATGACCTCCTGGTTCATAGCTTGACGTTCAACACCACTGAGCCACACCAGCTAGAATTTTCTATAAGAAACGATTTCTGTCATCCACACTCATTCAGTGAACCCAATACGCTTAGTAGCCAAACCTGAAGCAGCAGCATTTGTTATTGTCCTTAGTCCCTTAACTTATGAATACACAGAAAGGCAAGCTCTCTCTGTTCACAGTATACCATGAAAAGTTTCATTTTTCAAATGTACCCTCAGCATTGATCTGGGGTTCAAACCGCTCCACAGTGACAGCTGACAGATCATCAGGTTCCAGACTCCAAACACCAACACCTTCTGCGGCCCCCGCTGCCATGGCGGCTCCTAGGGCAGTGGTCTCTGGCATGGAGGGCTTCACTGAGAGGAGAAAGCGACATCAACATCAACAACTTGGTATTTTTTTACAGATGCCTAAATACCAGTTCCTCCAAAAGAAGCAGTAGTCCCAGAATGTAAAGGAATGAAGGTTTACTCACCTACTGGGATATACAGAATGTCTGCTTGTAGCTGCATAAGAATTTTATTGCTGGTCATTCCTCCATCTACCTGCAGATGACTGAGTGGAATTCCACAGTCACGGTTCATGGCATCCAGAATCTGAAATAAACCAACATAATGAATATAAACCACTTCATAGTAACATCCCTAAAAATGCTGATCTTCTAGCCAAAAAAAAAAAAAAATGCTTAAGAGCTTCCCAAAGCCTATAGAATAAAATTTAGACTTTTATTCTGGTCTTCTAAGCCTTCTTTGGTCTGGTCACAACCAACCTTTTCTCTCCCTACACGTCTATATGCGCTCAAACCAAAAAACTTTATTTTATACCCAGGTTTCCTGCCTCAATGACTATTAGTGCTATTCCCTCTGCCAATGTGTCCCACTGAGCGTCTCCCCAACCATAAAATACCCAGTGCCAGGCAGATGACAGGAACTCAGAAGGTAATGCCGCCAAAACCGGTTTGGCTCAGTGGATAGAGCATCGATCTGAGGACTGAGAGGTCCCAGGTTCGATTCCGGTCAAGGGCATGTACATTGGTTGTGCTCACATCCCCAGTAGGAAGTGTGCAGGAGGCAGCTGGTCGATGTTTCTCTCTCATTGATGTTTCTAGCTCTCTATCCCTCTCTCTTCCTCTCTGTAAAAAATCAATTATATATATATATATATATATATATATATATATATATATATATAGTAATGCCAGCTAACAAAATGAACAAAAACTTACATTTATTACATTAGTGTTTAGGCAGGTCTAATTTTTGATTAAGTATTTAATAAATTGATTCACGAAATTTCTGACACTCATATGTAATTTGTTAAAGAATGATAAAAACAGATTAAGCATCAGAAAACAAGTCCATATTTATTACCTCTCGGGTTTGGAAACAAACAGCTTCTAATGCAGCAAAAGCAATATGGCATTTATTGGTGAACTGAGTGAGCCCACAGATGATCCTAAAAACACAAAAATTTTTAAGATTAGAGTTGACAAGAAAGGAATCATCACTGAAATGTTCTGAATACAGAAAAGCTGAATTTGTTAGAAATGTACGGGGGGGGGGGGGGAGATAGGAATGAAAACAACAACAGAAGTCGGGGGAGAAGGGCTCCTAATATGAGGTGATGGGAGAAGATTTGACTTTGGGTGGTGGGCACAGGATGCAATATTCAGACCTTGTAACATAGAAGCCCACACCTGGAACCTATATGTTCATGTTGACCAATGTCACCCCAATTTAATAAAAAAATTCAAACAAACTAACAAAAACCAAAACCAACACTGGACATAAACATTAAGTAGCTTAGAAAGTCATTGTAGTCAAAAATCCTGTTTCCACATATGAAAAAGTTCATGATCTATAGAAAGAGGTGACAAAATATAAAACCAAATCAACATTTATCTAAATGATATCCCTTTGGTACAGAACTTGCAGATGCCTTGAAGATAAAAAAAAAAAAAAAAAAAAAAAATAAGCCCTAGCCAGTTTGGCTCAATGGATAGAGCTACAGCCTGTGGACTGAAGGGTCCCACGTTTGATTCTGGTCAAGGGTACATGCCCGGGTTGTGGGCTCGATCCTCAGTGTGGGGTGTGCAGGAGGCAGCCAATCAATGATTCTCTCATCATTGATGTTTCTATCTCCCTCTCCCTCTCTGAAGTTAATAAAAAGATAATAACACCAATACGAATATCGACATGGTGGGTGCTTATTATTAGAGGACTCAAAAATCATTTGAAAATAGATAGGAAACTATTGACTAATATTAGACCCACAAAAGCACACCTTATTTTTAATTCTTACCCTCTTGCACTGGGCTCCCAGTAAGGCGCATATAATCCTGAAAATGCTGGGACGAAATAGCAGCCATAAGAAGTACCTACTTCTTTAGCAAGTTTTTCTAAAGTTAAAAAAAAACAAAAACACAAGTCACTCTAATAGATTCTATTACGTTAGTCAAGAAACAAATCTATTAAAAAATTAGGACAGGACTTTTGGTTTCCTATTTATTAGTACCATAAATATTCATTAGTACCATAAAATGTTCCTAATTATAGCAGTATGCTAGGAGCAACCAAAATAAATTGCCCCACATTGAATACCACAACTAAAATGTAACCTACACCCCAAAATAAAAGAACTGGATTAGTTTCGTTAAGGTAGTTTGGCTCATTTCCACTACTGTTAAGGTTGTTGACTGAAAAATGAAGTGACCTCCAATGCATCCCTAATCAAATATATGTTTCTGATTATCTCACTTTCGAGCAAAATTAAAAAGTTAAATGAAAACATAGCCCTAGCCGGTTTTGCTCAGTGGATAGAGTGATAGAGTGTTGGCCTGTGGACTGAAGGGTTCCGGTCAAGGGCACATGCTGGGGTTGTAGGCTTGATCCCCAGTAGGGGGCGTGTAGGAGGCAGCAGGTCAATGATTTTCTCTCACCATTCTAGCTCTCTCTTCCTTCCTCTCCAAAATCAATATTAAAAAAATATTAAAAAAAAGAGTTATCCATAAATTGAAAATAGCCACAGCAATACTTACTTACTGGAGTTAATTATAGTTAACTAGAGTTTTAATTCTCACTCTAATCCAAGAGTTAAAGCTCTTTCTCATCAGATAAATTTAACTGGACTACTTCCCCAAAGGTTTTGGCAATCTTTGGTGTTTAATTTTACACTTGAGTAATTTTTATGCCCTACTTTGCCAGTTTAATAATAACCAACACTAAATATGTTAATTCATTGTTTTTACAAATCTTCACAAACTAGTCTTTTAGGTATAAATGAAACTAATAATAGGGACCAATATATGCTAACATAGCACATGGGGTAAAAGCACAAATACTAACAGATTGCAAAGATAAAATATTTAAAATTTTCGTTATTCAGCTTCTAACCCTTTGTTAGAACATACTCACCAATTTCGTCTGAGCTATTTATAATTCCAAGGTTGTCTCTTAGCCAGCGAATGACAGCACCGGCTATTGCTACAGAACCCTATGAAAAAGAAAAAAAAAAAAGAATCCAAGAGAATTATATGTTATCACTATAAAAGGTTTCACTGTGCAAATTCTCTGCATATGAGACTATCAGATGAATAACATTTTAAAAATTTCAGATTTGGGACTCCTGACCCACGGGCACTGTGAGATAATAAATACATGGGCACGGTTTAAGCCACTGACATTTATGGTGATAACGTTATACAGCAATAGTTAACTAATGCATAGGCTTATACCTAAAAAAGGATAGCTGACTCAAGAGGGATAAAATCACTAAGCTCTTAATACTATAATCATAAATCATACAAAAGAAGAGATGGGAGAAAGGACATTTAAATAAACCAAGTGGGGGGTACAAGGAACCCCCTATGAAGCTCGTGTTTAAATAGACAAAAATGGCATAACATAGGATTTGATAATGTAAACAATGTTTATTGAGTGTCTACTACATGTCAGCTGGCTGAGGTGGCGTGGTGAAAAAGACTAGCCTGGCCTAAGGGTATTTATATTCTGCTGACAGAATACAGCACACAGAAGGCTCAAATCCTAAATAACCTCTAGTTCATAATCATAGTAAAGCCCCCCAAGGGATTCCGTCTTGTGAAGTAATATTTAGAAACAGATGAACAAGAAAAGAGGAAAACACAGCTTCTGGGAGATAACGCGCTATGAATAGACAGCACAAGGAAAGCAAAAAACACTCAGCCATCCTGTTTCACTTCAGTCTCTTCCCCCACTAAGAAAACAATTCCAACTAGAAACAGCGTGACAAATTGAAGCAGTTAAATACGTGTTTAAAGTCTCGGCGCAAGTGAAGGATCATGTGACCCAATTCCTTTTCACGGAGAGTGAAAATGGGAACCATGTCAGGCCTAGATGAATCACACGCCAGGAGGATGTGTAAACGCAGAGGATTAGAGGCAACATGTAACAAGAGAAAACTGAAATAGCGCATGCTGACTCATATATAGAATAGATGTGGACAGAAACAGAAATGCACGGCTTGAAGCCACAGCAGGATGGGTTGTGATTCATTTCTCCATGTGTGAGAGCAGGAGTGGTGGCCAAAAATTGGCTCCACCAGAGCAAAAGGACCCAAATGCTTGGTATAAAAGACGAGGAATAGAATCAGTTTCAGTACTTGAAGCCAGGCGCTAGGTGGCGTTCTCCTACCAGTGTAGGGACGCTGGCAAACAAGCAAATGTCCACTTGTTACCTAAGACTACTGCTTCATAGAGGAAAAAGGAAGTGAAAATTCCAAAATACAAGAACTCTATTAAGACAACAAAACCTAAGAGCTGGAATAGAATTCAATCCACTCTGACAAAGACTTTAAAATAAGTGTGTGCTAAAAGTAATAAAAAATGATAAAGTATGATTTCCATTAAAGTTTTAATAAAATTAGGAATCAAAAGAGAGGAGAAATAAAAACAACCAATTAAGAATCCTAGAAATGAAATGACTGAGTGAAATTAAAAAATGTAATCGATGGAATAAACTGTAGAATAGATAAGAGATGATGAGTAGATTAGTGTTCCCAGACACTGCTGGTAGTATTTTCATATGGTAATAAAAAAAAGAATGAAACAATAGCTCTATTTAACAATATGGATGAATCTCACAAGCACAAAGTTCAATGAAACAAGCCAGATAAAAAAATACATACTGGCCCTAGCCAGTTTGGCTCAGTGGATAGAGCATCAGCATGTGGACCAAAGGGTCACAGGTTCAATTCCGGTCAAGGGCATGTACCTTGGTTGCAGGCTCCTCCCTGGCCTGGTTCCCTGATCAGGACTCCTGCAGGAGGCAACCAATTGATGTGTTTCTCTCACATCGATGTTTCTCTCTGTCTCTCCTCTCTTCCATTCTCTCTAAAAATCAATGGAAAAATATCCTCAGGTGAGGATTAACAAAAACAAACAAAAAATAAATAAAGATGATTAAATGTTTAATATACATACTGTATAACTCAGTCACTCTTACTTTCTTCTCTTTCTCTTATATTTTTAATATAAAGTGTATTAAAACATGCAAAACTAGCCCTGACTGGTTTGGCTCGGTGGATAAAGCATCGGCCTTTGGACTGAAAGGTCCCAGGTTCGATTCCGGTCAAGGGCATGTACCTTGGTTGCGGGCACAACCCCAGTGAGGGGTGTGCAGGAGGCAGCTGATCGATGTTTCTCTCTCGTCGAAGTTTCTAACTTTTTAGAAGGTTCTAGCAGGGGAGCGCAGCTACTCGTATACCCTTGACCGAAGACCGGTCCTCTACTCTTGGGGGAAAGTCGTCCTCTTCGACCGAGCGCGCAGCTTCGGGAGGGACGCACATGGATCGGTGAGGGAGGAGGGGGACACCCGCCTAGCCAGCCAGATCAGCCGAGTCAACCCTGGCGATCAATGGGGTGACAGATGTCACAGCCAGATCGACCTCACATCCCGTATGCGACTTATATTTCATAATAGAAGATTTGTTTTATTTGTTTTAAAGAGAGAATTTGGAAATGTAAGGTAGATACTGAGAAACTCATCAGAAATACAGAGAGATTAAAAACATATAAAAGGGCAGTTAAGAAACAGGGAGGGCTGAAACCAGTTTGGCTCAGTGGATAGAGCATCGGTCTGTGGGCTGAAAGGTTCCAGGTTCGATTCCGGTCAAGGGCATGTACATTGGTTGCAGGCACATCCCCGGTAGGGGGTGTGCAGGAGGCAGCTGATCGATGTTTCTCTCTCCCTTCCTCTCTGTGGAAAATCAATAAAATATATTAAAAAAAGAAAAAAGGAAAGAAATAAGGAGGGTGTTTCCAATTTCAGAAGAGGATAGCAATAATGGCAGAGAAGCAATATCCAAAGAGATAATTGCTGAAATTTTTCCAGCATTGAAGACAGACTTGTATCCAGGAACCTAAGGGGATAAATAAAAATAAATCCAAACCCTGGCATGTCCTAGTGAAACTATAGAACATCCACAATAAGGAGATAATGTCAACTCTCAGATAATAAACAAGAAGGAATCACAGATCAGAGCAACAGAGGTCTCATCAGCATTAAAAATGGCCAGAAGGGCCCTAGCCGGTTTGGCTCAGTATAATAGATCCCCACGTTAGAAGACAAAATAAATAACAGGTTTACCAACCCAGACTCATAAATATGATTTACTATCAACTGAAAAGAAAAAAAGGACTATTATAATTATTGCATGTTCAAGAAAAAGGGGAAATAAAAACTAAGCACAACAACATGATTGCTGGTGGAGGTGGTGGGGTCCTCAAATGGCCAAGAGGTTAAGAACACTAAACAACTGTGTAATGAAATAATACCTTAAAATTTTTAAGGTACTATAAAAGAAAAACAAAACAACACAAATATTGGAAATGCATTTTGTAGCTTCCAAATCAGAGAGAAATAAAAAAGACTAAAAACTAAGATGGATAGCTAGTTTCAGTTTTTAAAAGGGGTGGAAAGTAAAGGTTTAAACAAATTTTTTAATAGATAATTATCTATCCTTTATAGATAATTATCTATCTATCCTAATTTTTTAATAGATAATTATCTATCCTTTAATAGATAATTATCTATCCTAATAGTAATTATCTATCCTTTTAAAAAATATATATTTTTTATTGATTTCAGAGAGGAAGGTCAAGGGAGAGAGATATATAGAAACGTCAATGATGAGAATCATTGATCAGCTGCCTTCTGCACGCCCCTTACTGAGGACCAAGCCCACAACCCAGGCATTGTGTCTTTGTTCAGTCTGCTGGCCAATGCTCTATTCACTGAGCCAAACTGGCCAGGGCGAAAGTAAAGTTTTAATACCTAAAATTGCCAAGCCTAACAGCAATCTGTCAAATTAAAGAAATGAGTGTTGAATATATGCTTTGTGAGCACTGACAGAAAAGCAGTAACTTATTTGTTAGAAAAAGTGTTAACAATCTAGCTTTAATCCCTGCCTTCTTTTTTTGTTTGTTTAATTTTTTAAAAATTGTTTGATGGCCAGTTAGGGTACATATGAGAAGCAACCAATGAATGCATAAAAAAGTGGAGCAACAAATCAATGTTTCTCTCTCTCTCTCTCTCTCTCTCTCTCTCTCTCTCTTCCTCTCTCAGTAAATAAAAAACAAACAAATACAAAATACTAGACTTGGGAGACTGGAGTCCAGATTTTCAAGGAAGGAAAAGGCACAGTGGGGTGGCTTATCCATCTATATTTTGAAGCCCAATAACCTGGATATTTGCCTCCTGGATCAGCTACTTACTGGCTGTCAAAAGTTACCTTGGCCAAGTGACTCCAATTTCATTTGTCTACTCTCAGATTCCTCATGTGTGTAAAACAAGGGGAGAGCAGGGAGTAGCAAAACCTGTTGTCACTTAATCTATTATCCCTCTCTGCTTTAAAATTTTATGAATATAGTATACTTAAATAAAAAATTAATCTTAAATTTTCAAAAAAATTAAATAAAAATAAAACTTTATGAATTGAAACAAATTTACATGCATTGAAACAAAATCAGAGAGCATATGCTTATTAAGCCTCGAGATGAGCTAACACTGAAAGAGTAACAGAATAGAGTGAAAAAGAATTCAGTCTGTGTTGGCCTAGGCTGAAATCACTATCATGAAATTTAAAAGGAAGAAACGCAGACCTGAATTTAGAGGAACAAAAGATCTGTGCAAGTACAGAATGGAGCAGGCATGTCTTGACAATGACTCATTTGGAAAAGCACTAGATATTTTAGCATGTGCCCCTGGAGCCAAGGATATGATGAGGTTATCAGATCAAATTAATGAACTCTCAGGCTAGAGCAGCCAAAGTAGTGTTTATGGTCAGAGATGCCCAAATCACCCTAGAGTTTACATCAGGTTGCATATGGAATATTCTATTCTGTACTGGAAGGCACTGGCAAAATGGAATACATGCAATGAAGGCAGCCCAGAACTAAGAAGAATTTAAAAAATCATGTAACATGAATGTTTTTTTTTTTTTTTTTTAATCCTCACCCAAGGACATTTTTTCATTAATTCTTAGGGAGAGTGGAAGAGAGAGGGAAAGACAGAGAAAAACATTGATGCGAGAGAAACACATCGATTGGTTGTCTCCTGCATGAGTCCCTGACCAGAACCCGGGCCAAGGAGGAACCTGCAAACAAGGTACTCGACCGACTGGAATCGAACCTGGGACCCTTCCGTCCACAGGCCAATGTTCTATCCACTGAGCTTTCCATGCGGGGTTAACAAAAGGAGAAAGGGCTTGTAAGAGTTTAAGTTCTGAGAAGTATTAGGATACCTTTAATACACAGGTCAAGTGTTTCACAAATGCTCTTATTACCCATAGAAAAGGGGTTAGGGCAGAGATTACAGTGCTTATATAGGGGGAGGGCAAGAAATAACTGAAATAAACTAAAACTCCACATGCTCTACACTTAACAATTAAAAAATGTTTTAACTAAAAGCAAATCTAATACTTTTGAGCAAATTATTATTAGACTAGAGGCCCAGTGGACATGCACCAGTGAGGTCCCTCGGCCTGGCATGGGGGAATCAGGCTGAAACCATTTCTCTGACATCCCCGAGGGGTCTCAGAGTGCAAGAGGGCAGTCCTTGGGTGACAGACCCCGGAATCGGACTCCCGGGTGCCTCAACTCAGCTGCCAAGTCACCACAGCTCAGCAACTCCTGCATTGAGCGTCTGCCCCCTGGTGGTCATTACATGTCATAGCTACAGTTGGTTGCTTAGGCTTTTATATATATATATTCCCCCCCCCCCCCCCCAGGAAACAAGTCTCAATAACTTTTCATATCATATAACATATTTGCATAATACAAGGGAGTATTTAAAATTAATTGTAAAGAAATATTTTTAAGAAATGCATTGCCCTGGCTGGTTAGGCTATCATTCTATGGACTTCAGGGTCTCAGGTTCAGTTCCTGGTCATGGGTACTTACCTTGGTTGCAAGTTCCCTAGACCCAGGTAAGGCATGTGCAGGAGGCAACCAGTAGATTTGTCTCTCTCATGTCACATCAATGTTTCCTTCTCCCCTCTCTCTCCTCCCCACCCCCCCTAAAAAGCAATGGGAAAAAATATCCTTGGATGATGATTTTAAAAAAAGTATCTGATTTTTAATAATATATATTTTTTAATTGATTTCAGAGAGGAAGGGAGAAATATTAATGATGAGAGAGAATCACTGATCGGCTGCCTCCTGCATGACCCCACTGGGGATAGAGCATGTAACTGGGGCACATGCAACCTCCTGGTTCATAGGTCGATGCTCAACCACTGAGCCATGCTGGCCAGGAAGAAACATTTTACAAAGGGTACTGCTTCTTTGACTTTTGAAGTAAATGTTTCTAAGGTTTTTAATATACACTTACCACAAAGCCCTACAGACTTAGGCTGACATTCCTACTAGAATCTACAAACATGTTTTGAAACAAATGCTTTCAGTGAAAGATGGCACTTTCATGAAGTGAGATAAATCTTCTCACTTCATTTCCCACATTAAAATGTGACACAAACTATTTTTATGGAGATACACATGAAGAAAAGCTGCTCTGCCTTTTGTGCCCAGTATTTTTCTTTGGAACACGGGGGCACTATAGTCATAAAAAAACAATTTTCACCCAGCCGGCATAGCTCAGTGGTTGAGCATTGACCTATGAACCAGGAGATCCTGGTTGATTCCTGGCTGGGGCACATGCGCAGGTTGTGGGCTCAATCTCTAGTGTGGGTGTGTAGGAAGCAGCCAATCAATGATTCTTTCTCATCATCAATCTCTCTCTCTCTCTCTCTCTCTCTCTCTCTCTCTCTCTCTCTCTCTCTCTCTCCAGCTCTCTCCTTCCCTCCCTCCCTCTTCATTCCTATTTGAATTCAATAAAAATATATTTTTAAAAACCAGAATTTTCAAACTGAAAGAAATATTAGAGTAAATTAATGCCTCATTGTATTTTAGAAATATAAAAATATTACATTGTGAACAGCTAAATAATAGCAATGTGGTTAAGGTCCCACAATTATTTGGTAAAAGAACTGAGTAACCAATATATTCAAGGTCTCCTGGGAGTCCTGACCCCCAGTTCCGTCCCAAGTTTCTTCCATTCAATTAAATGTCAAGAAGAAAACAGTTTTTCAGTCCTATATATTAAGAATTATCAGTAAAGGTGTTAGAAAACACTGTTATTTCAGTTTTGATTATGTGTCATGTTACCCATATTGATTGAAAAATACTTACTTCCAGTGCATAATATACGGGTTTATCTCTACCAAGTTTGTAAGCCACTGTGGTCAGAAGGCCATGTTCAGAAAATACACACTATAGGAAAGAGAAAAAGACTTCATGTGGTCAGGAAAATGAAAAGACAGCATATTTTTTTTAAAGTTAAAATAACCTAGGTATAATGTAATTCAATAAATATAACAATTTTAAAAATAAATCTATCTTAGTCAAAATTACCAGTATTAGGAACAATACACTTAAATAGTACAAAAAGTTTATCCCTTGTTCCAAATTAGGTTTGCATTAAGAATCTAACAAGGACCCAAGGTACATATCCCCCCCCCCCAACACACTAAAAAACATATGAAATTCAAAGAACTTAGAATGGTTCTTATTTGAACTATTCAAATTTAGTGATATTCATCATTGAGTTCTTAATTAAACCCTGATAAAGATTGAGTAAGAGCTGCAGCTTAAAAGTAATTTAATGGCAAATTATGCTCAAGCATTTATTCATATGAAGTTAAAGAAGACCTTCACCAATCTTTTAATATGAAGGAAAAAAAACCCACCTTACGGCCTGTATTACATAGTAAGAAGCAGCCTGTTCCATACCTATAATTGGGGGAAGAATAATCAAAAAATCACTACGACAATTTTATCAAAAGTAAGCAGTGAAACACTAATACAAATTACTCAAACTGACACTTAGTACAATAAAAGTCATTATATTAAAGTTTTAGGCCCAGCTGGCATGTCTCAGTGGTTGAGCATTGACCTATGAATCAGGAGGTCACAGTTCGATTCCAGGTCAGGGCACATGCCACGGTGGTGGGCTTGATCCCCATTGTGGGGCGTGCAGGAGGCAGCCAATCAATGATTCTCTCATCATTGATGTTTCTATCTCTCTCTCCCTCTCTCTTCCTCTCTGAAATCAAGAAAAATACATTAAAAAATAAAATTTTATAAGAGTTCCAATAGCTAATAAGTATCACATACTCCTTTTGGAAACATGTTTTAAAGATCAGTCTAGAAGAAAATGTGACTAGTGTAATCTTAATGGAAAAAGGCAGGGATGGCATCTGGTACTTAGTCAGTCATAGCCCAGGGCTGTTTATAAATAATCACTGAATTACAACTAATTCTACCTTCAGTCACAGTGACATTGCTACTCATCCATGTGGAGTGAAGCATTGTGACGAATGGCCATTCATCAATGGGGCAGGCCAGCTTAGTTCCATCATTAGATAGAACAGTCACAAACAGAAACACCACTCTCTTCTGGCACAAAGAGAAGTCCAAGTGCAGAGTATGGGAAAGTATAGCTGGACTGTGGAGATAGGAGTGGCATACAGGGAAAGACTACTACTCAGGCCTACCTTTCCCATTCCCTCTGCAAGAGTGCACATTCTAACAGCCACCTGGAGAGCCAGGGTCAAGATGCAACAGGGCTGCCACAGAAGAATTGAATTTATTCTGTGGCAGCTTTATCGGCATAAGCTTTGGATTCTGCAACATGTCTGGCATGTGGACATGAGTAGTTTTGACTTGTGCTAGGCAGATAAGCAGCATAAACTGATACCAGTAAGGGGCACAGGGCAACAGTTTTCAGCTGAGTTGGCTGTGATTGTCACCTTTGGCTTTCCACAAGCTGTCCTGCTTGGGCCGAGCTGCTCTGCTCTGTCACAGAGGAATCTCAGCAGTAGCTTATCCAGTCAACACTATGTCAACAGATCCCACCTACTGCTTCTGTCTTGTGGAGCAAACAGAAACTGAGGGTAATTTTGTCCCCATCAACATTTTTCCAGGTACCATTGGTCTGTATAAGAATTAGCCAAACTGGCAGGCACGGCTCAGTGGTTGATCATCAATTTATGATCAGGAGGTCATGGTTCGATTCCTGGTTGGAACACATGACTGGATTGTGGGCTCAGTAGGGGGTATGTAGGAGGTAGCCAATCCATGATTCTCTTTTATCATTGACTAGTGGTCTGGTGCACAAATTTATGCACATTGAAAGGAAATAGATTAGAAGAGATATTTTAATATCACTATTCACCCTTTCTCTATAATAGAAGTTTCAATCAAATTTACGATAGACAATGACAGATGGAAACACACGTGCGATCGGTGCCAGCCAAGAGCTTTATAAGTATTGTGCATGTGCAAGTCAACTTAGCCTTTTATAGATATAGAATAAACTTGCTTAATTAGACCTGCTTTCTGATTTAGGTAAAGCTTTTCCAGCCCAGTGAAGCACCACAACTTCTCTTTCAAGTAATTGTCAGCAACACAGCAGTAAATATCAACATGAAGCAGATTATTATTGTAGATCACACAGGGGAAACAAAGGGTAAAATATTTAACTGTAGCAGTGTGTGCCTATATTCTGTGCAGTGAGAAAACCTGAAGTCATTTTCAAGGTCCATTATTTCTTACTTCTTTTCAGTTGGGTCAAGTTTCTAAGCTTTCTAAATCTCTGTTTTCTGGCTAATGAAAATAGGATTTCACAGAGTCTGCCATCTACCTACTCCAGGACTTCTGTGAAGATCAAATGAGATGAGGCAATGGAAAATGCTTCACAGACATTTAAAGTGTAAATGTTTGCACCTGGCTATAAAGCAAGTAGTTTTCCTGGAATGAAGAAACTGCAAGGAGGCTAGTCCCTAGGAAGAGGAAGACAGGTGTTGCTACATGACATCATTACCTGGATGGACACTTAGCATATTAGCCTTTTATATATATAGATGTTTCTGTGTGTCTCTATATCTCACCCTTACTCTCTGAAGGGTGAAGACCAGTGCACGAAATTGTGCACGGGTAGGGTCCCTAGGCCTAGCCTGCAATCAGGGCCATCTTCTGCCCACTCGCCAGTCCCCACCCCACCACCACCCACCCCAGATCCCCCATGGTTCCCCACTGGCCATCCTGCAATTGGAGCCTGTGGGCTGGGGGGAGGGGCCAAGAGGTGGTCACTGCTCCTCATAGCAACTGGTCGATCAGTCGTTCTGGTTGTTAAGCTGTTATGGTCGCTGGCCTTTTATTATATAGGATACAAACACATATACTAGTATATACAAATTAGTCCAAAACATTCTATCTCTTCTCACCCAAATACAGGGTGCCTCCCAAAATGTATATGCACATTTAATAATTATTAATATTTGTTATTGGTTAATTAATTAATTAATTTTTGTTTATTTTTGTTTATTTTTCAATATATTTTCATTGATTTCAGAGAGGAAGGGAGAGGGAGAGAGAAAAAAAATCAATGATGAGAGAAAATCACTGATTGGCTGCCTCCTGCATGCCCCACACTGGGGATTGAGCCTGCAACCTGAGCATGTGCCCTTGACCAGAATAGAACCCAGGACTTCTCAGTCCACATGCTGCCATTCTATTCACTAGGTAAAACCGGTTAGGGCCACACTTTGAGTAATAATTAATCCTAATGGGTTAAATCTGAAAAGAAAGAAATATCAATTGAGCTATCATTTGTTAAGTGAGTATATATTTTGGGGGGACACCCAATATATTCTCAGCCTGCTTGATGCACAACTAACACTTTCAGGGTGCATGGGATTAATGAATATCTACGTTTTTAAAGACACCAGTCAAATAACATTAAGTACAGTAGTAATACATCAACAAGTTAAAACACCTAAATCACTTATACCTTCCCCCCCACCCCCACAACACTGAAAAGGCTATATCTCCGAAGGTCTACATTTTAATATTATAAATATTCATAAAATTGGAATTTTAAGATTTTTCACACTTTGAAAGTATGAATCTACATCAATTTAGCACTCATATAAACATTGGTCATATGAATGCTAGTGTACAAGTCTCAAAAGTACAACATTGATGTGAAGGCTCCAAGCACTTAGTAGAAGTGAATCCTTAAGTTAGCACACTTACTAAGTAATTAATGAGCATTAGCAATGTATGAAGAGACTCCCTTGCTACATTGAGACTACGGCTTTCAAAGCAGTACTCGGGCAATTATTTTCCTCTTAAATTTTTATTATTCTTTCTTCCCAGTCATCCAACAGATAGGGTGCTTTCAGCATTTATCTGGTCTATCTAGCCTTCCTCAAGATTGTCCTGTGCTCACAAACATCACAAAAAGATGCCTGCCCTTCCTAACTTCTGTGAAGGTAAATGTTCTTGCTATCCTTCATGGGGAAGTGTGCCAAAGACGGTGCACAGAGGAATGGGGAGTGGCCCTGGCCAAAGCTGTGAAGGAGGTAAAAGGCCTCATTTATTACCCTTAGTGCCTCTGGGGAGAGGGGGAATCTATCTTAAGTTCTTTTTCTTAAAGAAAAATTCATGGTCAAATAATCCCTGTTCATTCAAAACAAAACAAAACAAAACACAAAAACAAAACAACCTTAAAAATACAAATAAAGAAATGAACAAAACCAGAGTCATCAGGGGAAAGGTAATGTGTGCTCATGGAAACAGAAGCATGGTTCATGCCAATTCTGAAGCAACCTTCCTGCTGAGGCCACTGGACACAGAATCTGTGCGATGCTGTACCCCTCAAGGATTTGAACTTACTGAAAAGGAAATAATTAAAATGGATGTGTTCTCTTGTTTAAAAAAAAATGAAGAAAAAAACAAAAAACTCTTCAGTCTGGAATGTAGGGCTTCCCAACCTGATCCTGGCCTTATTTTCCACCACTTCCCAACCTGAATGTTCTCTATTGTCTCTGAACAAAGTCTTCCATTTCCCCATTTTGCATTTTGTTCAGTGGTCCAAGCACCTGCCAATATCTCTCAAAACATCTTATTGATAGATCCAGAGATGTAGAAGATGGAACAGACTGGAATCTTAGAGGGAAGGTGTGTGGGGGGGGGGAGTTGGAGAATGTGTGGGGGGGAGAGAGATAAAGCAAAGAACTTGTATGCTTATCTGCATAACCCATGGACACAGACAACAGAATCGTGAAGGCCTAAGATGGACTAGAAAGGGTCAATGGGGAAATGGGGACATGTGTAATACTGCCAACAATAAAGATTTTTAAAAAGATACATGGCCCCACCAAGAACAAAAAAATAAAAACATCTTATTGATAACATAATCTTTTGTGAGTTTTCTCTCCTCCCTTTGGAACGCAACAGCTGTACTTCCAAGTTTGTTATGCCCTGAAGTTCTCATTTACAATATGATTAACTGTATATTTGCATTCTTCCTTCCTAGAATGAGAAATGTGTGCCCAAAGATCTAATTTGCTATTTCCCTTCGCCAAACCGCAGTGGCTGCAGAGGTACCCAACTAGTCCTCCCTTAGTTAAACTCATCATTTTCAGGGCTTGGCTGATAATGTTGAAGGGGAAGAGGAATAGAAAGAAGAAAACCAGGCCATTTTTGGGGGGTACTATGTTAAGTACTTGACAAAGGGAGATGGCATCTGATTAACTAGCATTAGTGTGCCTGTCACAGAAGAAAGAAGGGGTGTGTGGGGCGGAGGGGGGGTGTAGAAGAGCCCGGGTTTCTATCATTTTTGACTCCTGATTCAGCTGCCTGAAACCCAGAATTCAAAGAATATGTTTCCAGACCCATGCTGTTCAAGCTCTCTTGTTCATGGCAACCTCAGGATATCATGCATGACCTGCAAAGAATTTTCATTATCTGCCCCCCCCCCCCACACAAAAGAACTCTCACACTCTTGCACGAGGACTGCTGACCCGCTAGACAACAAGAACATTTCATCGAAAATGTTCAACATTCCAGTAGTCATAAAAGACTAAATCACTGAAGTTAAACATTGCTGGGAGATTTAGGAAATTCTCAAGAAAAGGACAATTACATAGAGATAATCTCTGGCCAGACCTATGGAAATCTTTATGACCCAGGGGACAATCAACTGTAGAGGGTTAAGAGTCTGGCAAAGTCAAATCAGATGGGTCTGGGTGCAACGATCACTTCTGTCACTTATTAGCTTAACGTCTCGGAACATCTTTTTCCTCCTACAGTGGGAGCAATCTTGTTACTCTTATAGATATGAGGCTTGTTGGACTCTATGTGTGTGAGTAGTAAGGAGATGAGATTGGGAGAAAAATGCACCAAATCTCTACTTCTATCATTCCTTCTGCCTCTTGTCAAAGGGGAAGCTCCAGATAATGGAGAGAACACAGTGCCAGGAGAATAGCATGGAAAGTTCCACAGAAATAGGACTTTCTGGTTACAGTGAAAAAGTCAAGGGCAGGAACAATGCTGCAAATTGTAGTTTAAAACATGGCTCTTCCTCACTTCTGCTCAGATGTCCCTGCCAACCTCTCCAAAAGAGCCATGAATACTGTAAACCAGCCAAAACCAGTTTGGCTCAGTGGATAGAGCATCGGCCTACGGACTGAAGGGTCCCAGGTTCAATTCTGGTCAAGGGCATGTACCTTGGTTGCGGGCACATCCCCAGCGGTGTGTGTGTGTGTGTGTGTGTGTGTGTGTGTGTGTGTGTGTGCAGAAGGCAGCTGGTCGATGCTTCTCTCTCATCAATGTTTCTAACTTTCTATCCCTCTCCCTTCCTCTCTGTTAAAAATCAATAAAATATATTTTTTTAAAAATACTGTAAACTAAAATTTAGTTTTTGGATTGGAAAAGGTATTGGATTTTATAAATTAAGGTCTTCACAAGCCTCGCCAATGTGTTTACATAAGGCGTAGTATATTTTCTTTGAAGGAGATGAAGGAAAATGAATGGCCCTCAGTGGGCAGAGTGTCAACCTGTGGGAAGGGTCCTGGGTTCAATTCCAGCTAAGGGCAAGTACCTCGGAAGGCAGCTATGTTCACCACTATACCACCAACGCAACTTAAGGGCAAGTAATTGACATGTTTGCAACCAATTGACATGTTTCTCTCGGTTGCAACCAATTGACATGTTTCTCTCACATCGATATTTCTCTCTGTCTTTCCCTCTTTCTCCCACTCTCTCTGAAAGTCGATGGAAAAATAACTTCGGGTGAGGATTAAAAAAAATTTACATATTCCTATTGGAACTCTTAAGCTATTGGTTTTCAGCTTGGATAAACATCAGAAGCTTTTCCTCATTGAAAGCACCAAAGGGAAAAACCAAACACCACTGGTCCTCCGGTCTGTTTCTTAACTCACGTATTTTTGGCTTGTCCATCTCGGAAACACATCTGTCCCACCAAGGCAGCAGACTGGTCCCCCAAACACTGAAAGTGTAAATGGCAAGAAAGGACACTAAGACAATATCATTCATTTCCTTTTTATAAGAGCCATAGAATTTATCTTTCCATTTTATTTATCAAGGAATGAATTATTTATGCTTTTTTGCATTGCCTCCAGTTGGCCATTTTCTCAGGTGTTAATACCCCTATGAGACAATAGGTAGGGAAAGGGAACCATAAGAATTAATTTATTCAAAAGATTCTCAACCCACATGAGAACAAGAAATAGCTGATTTTGCTGCTAAAGGGGCAGATAGATTAAGATATAACAGGAAAGCCTTGACAAGGAAGAGGTAAGGGTGGGGAGGCAGCAGGGAGATGTTAGGCGGTGAAACTTACCCCAGATATTGGCACACCTTCCAAGGCTCCAGCTTTCTATTAAAAATTTAAAAACGGATTATGAGTAATCACAAACGGTTGGCTCTACGAACGTAACTGCTATGGGAATGAACATGAACAGTAACATGCCAGAGCATGTGGGGCAGACAAGACAAAGCAAGTGTTTCAACTACATGAGTGGTTCAGAGACAGACATGAGACACATTCCTAAAATGACAAGAAGAGACATGGCATTGGAGAATGGACATGAAGCACTGGACTGGGAGGCTCAGGATTCCTGGGCTCTACTCCTGCTGGTAAGTATGAAGCCACTGAGCAGGCCGCTGAAACTTCTCTGTGCCTCGATTTATTTATCTACATAATGGGGCCTGGGCTACATAAACGCTGACATCCATTAGCTGTTTGCTATTATCGCCATTACTAAGAAAAGACTAACGCATTCTTTCAAATGAACATATCAATAGCTACGAAACCAGCAAGAAACTTAGTTATTTTGGAAGACTGCATTTTACCAACTATTCTCCCTGCTCACACAGCTCTTAAAATAAGTAACACAGCGGTGTTCGGGTATTGGGTACTACTAGTTCATAGCCAACATCATTCCTTAAGTTTAGATAAGCAAGAGATCATTTATATCTTGAGCAGGGGTTTTTATTTTGATCAAGCATAGCCAGCATTCCAGGAATAAAAACAAGATTTAAATGGCTGACGCACTAACACAAAGCAATCTGTACTAGTATTAAGGAATTAAGGGAAAGGAATGTGTTTCCTGAAGTAAGTGTGATGTACTAGGAAGTGTACCAAACAAAAGCTTGGACTCACCCCTCAGTCTGCCACTTTGGGGGCTAGTTTCCTGGCCTCTGGGGAGCCTTGGGCCCCCTATCTGTTAGAGTGAGGGTACGAACAGAAGCCACCTCATGTGGCTCTGATGATAAGGAAATAATAGCATAATACGTAGAAACCCTCTCCAACAAGCATGTCAATCTCGCAGCCTACAGGCCACATGCGGTTCAGCCAATATAATGGCATGTAAGAAATGTTTTAATAAAAATTTTGTAACTTAATTTTTACAATATCCTGTTATACATAATTATTAACAAACTACAACATTCGCTAATGACTGATGACTAGAATTGTGTTGCATTCATTTCCCTTAGACACAGGCGCATCATTTCTCTCCACTAATACCAGCAGTGAATATTTTAGCAGCAGATTGCCACATCATTAGTCTTGTACTGACTTGTTTGGTGTGCGCAACAGGAAATATTTCGCTTTTGGAGAACAAGAAAAATAAGTTTATTTGCATTAGGCTTATTAACCTGTGCAGTTATTCAGGGTCTGGTAAGTTAATGTTCAAGAAAAAATATTAATTTTTATTAAAATGTTCTATTATTTTATGCTAACGATTAGTCATTTATTTCAGCCCTTTGTATTCAGCATGACTCTATTTAAATAAACCCACGTTTCTATGAAAATAGAAGCTTTTGCTTTTTTGCGGCCCACATAAACTTAAACCTTGTTTATTTGAATTTGACATGCTTGCTTTACAAGATAGAAAACATCCTCAGAGAGTGGATATTCTAGTTCTCCCCTGCTCTCCTATTAATTCAAGACCTGCTATTTTTACTTACTGAAGCTGGATATTAAGTGAAGGGTAAATTTCATAAAAGGCTAAAAGTGAACCAGCAGGAAACCTAGAGGCTGTATATCTTAATATATTTAAATAGCAAAAGAAGCTTTTGCTTATATTATTATCAAACTACCAGCAGGATCTACTATGTGAGGTCAGGCAGAGAAAGAGTTCCTTTTTCTTTCGCAAGGAGAGGTTTCTGGAAGATTCCTGGGAACATCCTCTGGTGAAGCATGCAGAAAAAGCGACAGTGCATTTCCAACTAACTGGTCTGAAAGGTTGGACAAAGTAGATGCTTAGGACATTTCAGAGCCACATCTAATTTATCTATTATGCTAAAGCCAAAGCACATCACAACTGTACTTTGTAATGGGGGCCATCAGAATTTCTTATGCCAGGAAACTACCCATGTCTTTTAGTTTGAAACATTACTCTCAGTCTTATGGAAAACTTAAAAAACAAACAGATTAGATTGAAAATTTTTAAAAACCTAAAGCTCAACTAGAGCTTATAATAATTTGAAGAGTTGTGAGTCTAGATAACTCTGTTTAGTAAATAGACTTCCGTTTGTTTAACACTAAATGGAAGTGCACTGTATCTTTTCCGAATGAATGGGTAGAATAATTGGTGGGAAACCTACTCACCAGGCTATGAGAGATTTTCTATAGTCAGCAAGGGGGAAAAAGAGGGACAGAAGCATCATATTTTAAATGCAAGAGAAAACGAAGCCAGTTAAACGTTTGTTTTTTATTCCAACCATCCTCTGAAATGGTTTCTCAAGAACAATTTTTTCCCCACTGACTCAAGTCACTTTGTAGATAGCTATAAAAGAATCAAGGCATTTTTACTACAGATAAGCAGTGACTAACCCTTTAAAAAAATATGCATGTTGGCCCGACCTGCATGGCTCAGTGGTTGAACATTGACCTACGAATCAGGAGGTCACCAGTTCAATTTCTGGTCAAGGCATGTGCCTGGGTTGCGGCTTGATCCCCAGTCGGGGGCATGCAGTGGCAGCCTATCAATGATTCTCTCATCATTGGTGTTTCTTTTGCTCTCTCCCTCTCTGAAATCAATTAAACAATAGTTTTAAAAACTGCATATTGCTGTAAAAGGAATGAAACATTTAAGAATTATTATGAATGAAACATTTAAGAATTTTTGCTCAAGCTTTATCCAGAGCACTTAGTATTCAACTTAATTATTATTAAAACTACAAAAAGAGTTTCTAATATTTGCCATGTCTATTTTTTTGCAATTTTTCTTAGATGTATTCTTAATTTTTAGCATAATTCCAGATTTTTGTGTCCAAACATCAGTTTGAATCCTCCTAGAGCTTTTCATCCCTGATGTGTAATCAGAGATACTCAATGATGCTAAGCAAATTTTTTTGCTGAAACTACTTTTTCTCTGAGTTTCAATGAAAGCAAAAGCAAAAATGTCCATTATAGAACAGTTTAATTAGCCATCACATATCAGAGACAGAAACTTTGCTTTCAGTTTCTTTGCTAAAGTTTTGCTCAGGCTGACAAAAAATGTAATCTAAAATATGGTTTGGCCATTAAAAGAGATTATATACCAACTATATTTAAATAAAAAATAAATTTAAAAGAAGAGATTCAAAGGAAAAAAGAACACCACTAAAATGTGAAGAGACCTTCCCATAAATTAAAAGCAGATACCACAGCTACTAAACAGTTATTTGGATTAAAAGAACAGATCAAATATTCTCATGCCACCCTGTGTAATTAGACTATCCCAGTAATACTTCAAAAGTATAATACTCAAAGAAAAGCCAATTCAAGTTTATACAATATAAAATGAATTGGTAAAGAATCAATGATTTTTAAGTTATAAAGCCATTTTAAATACTAACATTTTGTTATATTCTACCAATGTTCAGAGAGAAGTCACAACCCTCAAACTATCAAATGTTACACAATTGATTTAAATTCTGAATAGTAAAATTTTGAAAGTGGAAATTTATATTTACCATTAAGCCATAGATTTCAGAAGAACTCCGGACATTTGGAAGAATTTTCATTGGAATTTCAAAAAATCTGAAAGAAAAAAAAAATAACAACAAGATAAGGTTGGGTATTTAACACTGTTTTAAATAAATAGCTGGAAACATTTATATTCACTTAAAGGTAAAAATGTAAGTAACAGCCGAAATCGGTTTGGCTCAGTGGATAGAGCATCGGCCTGTGGACTGAAGGGTTCTGGGTTTGATTCCGGTCAAGGGCATATACATTGGTTGCTGGCACATCCCCGATAGGAGGTGTGCAGGAGGCAGCTGGTCGATGTTTCTCTCTCATTGATGTTTCTAGCTCTCTATCCCTCTCCTTTCCTCTCTGTAAAAAGTCAATAAAATATATTTTTTTAAATGTAAGTAACAATTAGTAAATGGATGTATTTGTGTATAAAATTAAATATTAACAAATAGACCAGCATAACATAGTTCCATGACTAGATATTTTACATTCTAATTTTATTCAAGCCAATTAATAAAACATAGCCGAAACTGGTTTGGCTCAGTGGATAGAGCGTAGGCCTGGGGACTGAAAGGTCAAGGGCATGTACCTTGGTTACGGGCACATCCCCAGTAGGAGGTGTGCAGGAGGCAGCTGATCGATGTTTCTCTCTCATCGATGTTTCTAACTCTCTATCCCTCTCTCTTCCTCTCTGTGAAAAATCAATAAAATATATTTATAAAAAGTAAAAGTAAATAAAAAGCACACAGAAACCAAAGTACTGTTCTAAAAGAACCTTTTAGATTAGATTCTCTAATCTTCCTTGGCGAATAATCAAGGCAATTATTTAATTTGGCATGTTTATTGCACGTACAATAATAGTCTCTCTTAAAAGACTACACAAGTCTATGTTGCATGTTGTACTAGAAATACCACCATTGAAAGTTTAGTGCTCCATTGATGTTGGAAAATAATAAGATTTAGTTTATAAGTAGTTAACATATTTGGAAAACTGTTCTTAGGGGAAAACACAACTCACTCGCAGAGCTCTTTATCCCATTCCAAAGAATGGATGTTGAAAAGCATCGTCCTACTTGCATTTGTTACATCTGTACAGTGGACGCCTCCATTGATTCCTCCTGTCAGACACTAGACAGAATAAAAAGGACATGTTAAATCTGTACTTATCTGCAATTCTATTTACATTTTGTTAAGGGCCATAATCAGCAGCAGGACATATAAAGCACAATGACACATTTTAATTACTTAATTTTCTAGTTTTCAGCAATGTCCAATAGAAATATAATGTGAGCTACATTTGTAATTTAAATTATTCTAGTAGCTACACTTGAAAAGCATAAAGAAGCAGGTGAAATTAATTTTTATACTATATATTTAATTTAACTCAATATATCCAAATATCCTTTCAACATTAAAAAAAAACCGTATTACTGAGACATTGTACCCTTTTATTTTTATTTATTTTAGTAGAGGCCCGATGCATGAAATTTGTGCAAGAGTAGGCCTTTCTTCCCCCAGCTGCTGGCACCAACTTCCCTCCGGCATCCAGGACCTGGGCTTCCCTAGCAGCCCCCAGCTTCTCCAGAAGGTCGTCTGGTCTAATTAGCATATTATACTTTTATTATTGTAGATTTTTTATTTTTTAAAATACATTTTTATTGATTTCATCATAGAAGAAGAGAAAGGGAGAGAAACATCAATAATGAGAGAGAATCACTGACTGGCTGCCTCCTTACAGAATCAAGCTCAAAACCCAGGCATGTGCCCAGACTGGGAATTGAAATGGGACTTCCTGGTTCATAGGTAGATGCTCAACCACTGAGCCACACCAGCTGGGCAAATTTTACCTTTTTTTTTTATATTAACTCTTTGAAATCCAATGTGTATTTTATGCTCACAGCACATCTCAATTCAGACTAGCCACATTTCAGGCCAAGTGGCTACCATATTAGCACAGAACTAGTTAATTGATTAAAAAAATCACTTTTGTCTTCATCCTTTTATCTTTGGAAAATGCAGTGTCTTACTAAGTCTGGCAAAGTGAAATACATTGAAATGTCTGCCTCTCAGGATCTGACTAAACTCTGTGCTGCTGCTATTCTTTTTGGTTTGTTTTGGAACAATTCTCATTGGGCTGTGCTTGCGCTGATGCAAGCACATTATCTTGAAAGTTTTAAACTCTAATGTTATAATACCCTTGGCCCAGAATGGAAAGCACTGATGCTTTTTAATTTTAATTCTTAAAAATGATTTAAATGTTTATTATTATTATTATTATTATTATTATTATTAATGCTGATTTCTTTTATGGGGAAGTAATGAGGTAAGAAAGGAATACTAGGCTCTAGCCATCTGGCTGTCTCAGTGGTTAGTGTGTCAGCCCTTGGATGGAAGGGCCTCTGGTTTGATTGATGTTGCAGGCTTGATCCCTGGCCGGGGGGTGAGGGGGGGCGCCACATTCGGAAAGCAACCAATTGTGTCTCTCCCCCTGCTTTCCACTCTAACTAAAAAGTAATGGAAGTGTCCTTGAGTGAGGATTAACAAAAAACAACAAAAAGAAAGGAATAAAAGTGGAGAAAGACATCATGGTGGGGGATATGCTTCCTTGAATACCCTGCAGTTCACAGTTCCCAAATTGTGCTTCTATTTATCCATGTTGAGTTTAGGCAAAAAGAAATTTCCACTATGATTTTTCATATTACCACTTAATTAAATACAAGACAGACAGCTGTGTAATGTTGAAAGCAAATGATAAAAGTAGCCTAGGCATTTTATTATGTTAAATAATCATCTCTTCTAAGAAGTGCCTAGTGGAAAACTTTATGGTAGACAAGAGAAAAAGGCTACCTAAATTACTGATTACTAATTACCTAAATCACTTATTCTAAAGATAATACATGAGATGTTTGGGTAATCATCCTCCATTTGTACTGATATAAAGCAAGAGGGAAAAGAAAGATGAAGTAAGCAAAAATGCCTCTCAAAGGAAGGCTGAAATGTTCTGCTATTTCTTCGGTGACTTTTCTGAATAAGAGTTGCCAACAGAAAAGTTTGAACTCCTAATAGAAAACAGAAAGTAGGCAAGGCAGTTTTAAAAAGTGTCTTTAAATTTTTTCCGTACTTTCATCTACTGAAACATACCCAAATGAGCCATGAATCAATAGTCCCAAAAAGAGCTCTATCTTCTTCAACAGCCCTTTGAACTTTTTTCACGTTATCCAGAAGCCAACGAACTTTGACGGCACTGAAGTAAGTGCTAAGTGGAAGGCCTGTTTTGGACTGAAAAAAATGCAAATTAAATTCATAGCAGTTTAAAATGAAACAAAACACCAAACCCCAAACCCCCACAAATCACAAAATATCCAGTTGCCCTAAATAGGCAACTCCATGCATGGTATTATGGGTAAAAATACTTGATCTCCTGGCACAGGAAAGCATACTCATGAACAAAGATCAGTGATACGTTTGCAGTTCAAAGAGCATCCACGTAGCAAGGTAAAGAGAAAAGGAAATAACACAACACCCTGTAATCTAGACTTCTGCGATGACTTAGTCCAAAGCTTTGCTTTTTATTTTATATTCCATGAAAGTGATATTGAAACTATCAATAATCATGGGGTGCTGTATATCAAATTATAAACTGATGACCAAAACTAGAAAATTTTGTTCTAAAACACGGGACTTCTCATTATGTTGATGTGTATAAAATTTTATATTATAAATATATATTTACACACATTCATATTCAAATAATATAGTATAAAATTAGTGGAGAATAAGTAAAGCTCAAAGACACAGATTAAAGCAAAACAGAGCAGCTCTGTGTAAGAAAGTAGTTGCCTAGATTAGCGAATAAATTAAACAACGAGGGAAAGTGAATCGAATTAAGGTTAAAATGTAATAATAAAGCACACATGGCTTATTAATCTTGAGAATGAATCAGGTCCACTCTTATTTTTGTTTCCATATTAAATACCAAATTTTTATTAGTGGTTAAGAAAATACACACATCAAAATAATGCCAACTATCTTTTCCCTCCATATCCCAGTCTCCTCATTTATCACCTAACTACAAAAAGTGATAGGCAGAAATGACTTGATTTGTCCTCAACTATCTGAAGAGCAATACTCTATAAATTGTATCAAATAACTATTGCGCAGTAAGATGTAAGGCCCAAATAGTCCTTTTAAATGAGCATTTTAATAGTATACTTTTGAAGAGATCTCTTACCTTGATAAAGTTATTTCCTGGAATTCTTTTAGTAAGATTCTCAACGGTAGACTGGGTTCTTAGATCAAGCCAAACTATAGATAAAAAAATTAATATACATGAAAAACTTCACTAAAAACAAATCAGTTCTTAATCACTGTCAAGGACAGGAGACTGATTAGTTTCCATAAGCAACTAAAATGCTATAGCTTTCAAAAGACAGAAATTAGAAAATTAGAAATGAATGGGCATATTGTTAGAGGAGACTAAATTTAAGAGTGAGAATTTTAAGCTTTTATGCAAAATCACAAACCCAGTTAGGAGAACAATACAAACCTTAGGGTGCTTATTGCTTATTTTGTATCCATTTTGTAGAAAAACAAACAAAAAAATGTTTTGGATATGGATTTTCTAAGCATACATGAGTGCAAGAGAAAATCTAAATGGTAATCAAGCTAGTTGCCAAGGCAGAATGCACAACCCAGGATCACCATACTGTGTATAAAGCACATATGTTTGAAAACTTGGGAGCAATTTGTTACAGATTAGAGAACCTGATACGATTATCTAGGGGAAAATAAGATAGATTCTCTTATGTATGTAACTCTTAATCACATTAAATTCTTTCAAGGTGGACAAGAACCTGGAATCATTAAAAGAATTATTTCACCATTCTTTCTCCATGCTGGATTGTAAAAACACACACACACACACAAAACCCTCCATTATAACAGAACATTATTTTTAACTAAATAACTATCATTCAGTTTCTGATCCCCTATTAGAAAACATTTCTGTTCTGCTTCATGACAAAGGCTTGAGAAAGAGAAAACATTAAATGATACAGACAGCAATTGTGAAAGGTAACCAATAGGATCGGCTCAGCTTTATTTGCCGGATTTAAGTTTTGTACTTAACTTTTATTAACTTTTAACGTGTTCGTGGTCACTAGGTATTTTTAGGCACTGACTGTGCTCTGATTACTCCCATGGTCTATTTAAAGGACACAAGGGAAGATTATACAGGTTGGTCAACCACACCTTCAAATACTGATAGTTATTGTCTAGTTTGGGTCTCCTGTCACTACTACTTCTTTCTCTTCATTTAAAAAAACCAGTGAAATTCCGGTAGTGAATTTTAATCAATTATTTCTAATGACTTAAACTGTCATTTCCCTTGAGTACTGTCTGTGCTGGATTGACAGTGGCTACAGCAATCCCGGGGTTGAGATTTAAACCGGGAACTTCAGGACACTCTATTGGTTTCCACGGGTGTGAAACGCAGCAAGCAAAGGCTTGTCACAACCAAGGAAATGGGAGCCAAAGAGGAAATGGGAGGCAAACACACAGCCTACAGATGACGTCTGCATTGGCTGCCCAGCACCCATTCATCTTCTTCCTGGGAGAAGTTATCTCCAATTCTGTTTAGGCAAGCACCCTTCTCTCATCCTCTGCCATGTGGTTTGCCTGAGATTCTACCCCACCTCCAGCAGATAGCTTTCATGCCTGGGTTTTGAGAGGTCAAAACCCTTGTGTCCAGTATCCTGTCCAGACCCCAGCGGTAGGTTCAGAAGAGAGCCATGTGGTCTCATCAGCCACACAGATTTGTGCCCAGTATGCAGGAGTCCCTCTTCTCAGCTCAGATTGGCAGTGTGTGGCTGGGGCCTGCTGCCCTCCCGGAGAGAGAATTGAATCGGCCACATCTGGAGCCATCCCAGGAACAGACTTGTGGGGATCCGGGTGACTGAGTCTGGAATAAATCAGCACCTGAACTAAGCTACCCTGGGATTGCTGGTTCCATGAGCAAAATAATTACTTAAAAAAATTTTTTTCTTTCAGTGTGGCTGAGTTTTTTCTATTACTTGCACTGTGATTACTACAGCTATTAGCAGCAGCATGGAGTTGGCAAGATGTGCCATGTCCAGGGAACAAGGGCAGTCCACTTTTCACACAGTGGACGTATTGTATGACTCTGACAAAGTGGATTTTCCTCATGGGGCAAGCAGGTATTAATGGCTCAATAGAAGTAATTGGGAAAAGTAGAGCAATTTGAGGGAAAAAGTATTAAACCTGGGAGTTAGAATTAATATCTTGACCCTCAGTTGTTTTTTTTGTTGTTGTTGTTTGTTTGTTTTTGTTTTTTAAATATATTTTATTGATTTTTTACAGAGAGGAAGGGAGAGAGATAGAGAGCTAGAAATGTGGATGAGAGAACATCGACCAGCTGCCTCTTGCACACCTCCTACTGGGGATGTGCCTGCAATCTACGTACATGCCCTTGACTGGAATCGAACCCGGGACCTTTCAGTCTGCAGGCCGATGCTCTACTGCTGAGCCAAACCGGTTTCGGCTCTCAGTTGTTTTTTTAAACTACAGTGGGTTAGGGGTTTAAAAGCAATTTAATGAGCTTGGATGACCTATTTTAAAAAAACGAAATACGTTGGATTAGAGTTGAAAATATCAGAGCTCACTGAACTTGGTAGGATAAGTACTGGCTTGTGAAACTTTTGTTTTAGCTCTGTGGGTTTGCTGAATCATGATGCAAAATATATTTCTTGCCAAGGGAAATGAATGAGACATGAAAGCCATTGCTCTAAGCCTTTTATTGAATGACTCAAAGCCTTCTAGATCAGCATTCTTCTGTATTTTAATGGATACAACAATCACTAGGGAGCTTAAAGATGACCCCAATACTCAGAAATTCTAGGATAATAGGCCTGGGAAGGTGGCACAGAAATACACTTCTTGTAAGAAACACTGCTAGACTCCATAGCAGTTGTTTTTACTCAGAAAGCACACCAGAACTACCTGAAAAACTTGGAAATCACACATGAGGCCTCACCTTGCAGGATTCTGGTTGCAGGTCTAGGCAAGGAAGGCCCGAGTGTTTCTACTTTTGTCATAAACATCCCAGGTTCGCCGGGCCAGTGTTGCTCAGTGGTTGAGCATCAACCTATGAACCAGGAGGTTAGGGTTCAATTCCCGGTCTGGGCACAAGCCTGGGTTTCAGGCTGGGTCCCCAGTAGGAGGCATGGAGGAGGCAGCCGATCAATGATTCGCTCATCATTGATGTTTCTATCTCTCTCTCTTCCTCACCTAAATCAATAAAAAAATAAAATATATATATATATATATATATATATATATATATATTTTTTTTTTTTTTTTTTTTTTAAACCAACACATCCCAGGTTCTTCAGTATTATACTAGAACTTGAGAATCTCTTCTCTAGGACATGTTCTTTAGAATACTGGATTTGTTTCAGTCATTTATTAAAGAACAAAACTAAGATAGGTAATGATGATCAGGGTCCCATTGGTTCTGTGACTCTGGTGCTCCTTGACAAGGAACACTTAAGTAACTGGGCACTTTACTCTTCATGTGAAAGCTTGAAGTATCCACAGTGGTATCCGCAGAATGTACTTCCTGCCCCCTTCCCCACCAAAAAGTCAAAACACTGGGTGTGAAATCAGGAGATCCAAGTTCTATGTCTTTTGGCTTTGCCACCAAGAAGCTATGTGACCTGGATTTCCTAAATATAAAATAAGGCAGTTGAACTAGATGCTCTCGAAAATTCTGTAATCACAGAGGGCTGACCTAATATTTATTTTGTCTTTTTTTTTTTATGGTCCATGAGCTTAAGACAATTAGAATGCATACAATGAATTAGTAAGACTGCCCAAGAGAAAAGAAAATGTCAGTGGCTGGTATACTACCACCAAGCAATTCACAAATGCTCCAAATTAATGAAATTAAGAACACACCAAAATTAGAGCTCATTAAAGAAGCTAAGATGGCAGAATTAGATTTGCAGAGGCAAGGACCCAAAGCCAAAGAGAGGAACCCAAGCTGGAAGTCTAAGCCCCTTGTGGAGGTCATTTCTGAGAATAATCAGAAGTGCCAGATCCAGATCCAGCGGCAGTGGTCAATTTCCCCCAGGATGCCTGAGTTGGAAGGCCGGGAAGTGAGCAACAGCCAGTGCACCAATACCTGAGGAAGGGCCAGCAGCTGGAACTGAAGAGCCAGAGGGAACAACGGCAACTGGATCTGAAGGGCCAGGAGAAACTGGAGCAGCTGGAGCATTAGGAGAAATAATGGCAATTCATGCTAGAGATGGCCAGATTCAAAGTCTGTATTCTCTTGTTGACCACTTAAGGAATGGGAGCTCATTCCCTTGGGCAAGTTCATCGGAATGAATGTTTTTCTACACATTTGAGTGCAGAAAAAGAAGAGTCATGGGGTAGAAAGTGAACAAAAACTGTCCAGTCAGAGTCTCTGGTTCAATGGCATTTCCATCGGGGCAAGACCAGGTGTAGACCCATATTTTGCTCAGGAGGACCCTTCCCTACCTGGCCACATAGCTGCGACCTAGTTAGAAAAGTGGCTCAGTTGGTTACTGGGGGCTCACCCAACCACTGAAATGAAAAGGCTATGTGGTATAGTGAGTGAGCACATCCCCAATGGATGTTAGGAAGGGATGCTTAGGAAGTGTTCCCATCTGTGTTGGGGCCATTCGCAGGAAGGGATGTAGCAGCTGCTTTGGGAAGGCAGGTCCCCAAGAAAGCACTTCCCTGCTACAGTGGCAGGAAGTGAAAGGCCATCACCACAAAAATAGCATGTTCAGAGGGAAGAGGAAATAGCTAAGTTCCAAAGTGATTTTTTTTAATGAGAAAAATAGTTGCTAGGGGGTCTGGAATATTATACAGCCTGTTTCTAGAAGGCATTTCCCTTTAAACCAAGTAAATTGGATTTAAATGGTTCAGACCATCAAAGTTAAAAAAAAAAGAACAATACAAAAAAAACTCAAATGATCTGAAACTTTCATTTGTATCAAATAAAGCCACTTCCGGTATATCTGATAGATTTGATTTGTGCTGAAAAACAAAGTTTTAAGAGTGAAGAGAAATGCAGTTGCCTCAGTGCCCATGGACCAGGGTTAGCTTAGTGGTGTAGTAACAGCACAAAGGAAAAAGTTATTTTGAGAATATTTAGAAATTTGTGTTATTTTTGGTTAGCCATAACAATAGAAAGGAAAAGTACCTTAAGGGGGCAAAATATACTAGAGATAATTAAATTATTTTGTTGACTAGAAGCA